GCTACCGGGATTTAAAAATAGTTACGCAAAACAGAGCGTGCCTGCTCTGACCGGTTTTAAAGGGTTAAGGTTTCAAAATCATTAAACTGTTTATCAAACCATTTAGCCTAATGAGACGAAAGTTAAACTTTCTGGAGATTTTTACTGTGCTATGCAAAAAACAACCACACAGCATTTCATAAAAAGAATATCACATCAACAAAAGTAGTAGTGTAATGCTTTGGGGCTGCTTTTCTGCTTTGGTAACTGGGTGACTTGTCATAGTTTAACATAAGAAAAAATAACAATAATTTTTTTTCTAAAACATTAGAAAATCCTTCAGGAGAATGTCTGATCATCAATTTCTGCCCTGAATCTTTAGCACACTTGAGTTATAAGGCTGAGCAATGATCCAAAGCACCCCAAGTCTCTCTAAGTTTCACTATTCTCCTTGTTCTCTTGTTTCTTGGGTTGAATGTTCCATTGCAGCTTGAAATCAGTCAATCCTTGACTTGCTAGTTTGGCTCTTAGCTGTGATAGAATAGAAAAATACGTAGGTGGTTTCATCATTTTCTTTAAGTCAGTATATTTATCCATTGCTCTTTCAGTTTTTGTTTGTTTGTTTGCTTTTTTTCCAGAAACAAAAACAAGGATTTTACCTGCTGGAGGATCTGGGCATTAGTTGCAGAGTCACTTAAGTCAACATCAGTCACAAACTTCAGCTTCACTGCCGTCCTCAACTTTGCAACTTAGAAGGAAACATGTTGTTATAAAATAACAGTAAGTTTTGACAAATTGAGAAACAGGAGTTAGGGTTAGTCAGGACAAGTTTTCTTTATGTGTGTGTTTGTTTGTTTTGTGTGTGTGTTATTGAACATTTACCTTGATGGCAAATGAAAACATATTTTATTGTACATATGTCGTCATCCCACACGTGGACGTTATTCTCCACCACACAATGCTGGTTACCCGGAGGGTTATTTGGGCTGGAACTTCGCCAGCTTTTAAAGGAGCTCTGACTCATGTCAGACCAGGTCCATGGCACTCGGTACAGACCGATCCAAATGTCATCACTGTTTGGTTTTAATGAACTGACCTCAGCGTTCTCCTCACTGTTTTCGATCACTGCCAAGTTCATGCTTAGTTTTATGCAGTGTTCTCGAGCAGAGGTCCAATTTTTTGTAGTAGAGATGTACATGTAGTTTTTCTTGTTTTGCTCTGTAACTGTAGCAGATAGAAAATGAACCAGTGAGGGGGAAACGCATGAAGCAAGTGTTTAAGCATCCATGGCAGATAATATATGTTCAATTTATTAGGGATATTAATCAGTTAGCATTGCAGTGAATGATTACAAGTTTTGGATAATCAATTTAATGTTTTCCAATAAGTTCAAACTTTTTGAGCTAAGGTTTTTCTTATATTTTATACAGCAAATCTTCAGTGATGCTTTCTGTCAAATCTGCCAGTGAAAAATGCAGGTGAAGTCAGTAGTCAGGTCAGTAGGTGAAATCCATGAATGAAAATATTTTCTTACCATTGTAGCAAGCAAAAGTTTTGATTTCACCACAGTTTTTATCGTACCACTTTCCTCCAAGACCCATTATCACACAAGTTTCTTTTGCGCGATAATAATCGGGTTCGGTAGAGTCCCAGTTGTGGTAATCAATTTTGCTCATTTCACCAGTTATTGCCCATCTCCAAGAGTTGGTGTCATTGCCTAACGTATTCTTCCAGGATTTAGGGTCATCCTGCAGTCCAATCCATGCCCAGTCGTAGGAAAAAGATGAACTTAGCCTGCTTATATCATCCATGCTTTCAATGGTGGCCAGGTCAGTGTACTTCTCTCTGCAGTATTGTTGAGCATCGTTCCAGCTCATTGTTTTGTCAACGTAGTAGTACTCACGAGGAGGGAACTTTGAGCAGGAGCAGAGACTAAATCCTTAACAATGATAATAGATAGTATAAGTAGTATTAGATTCCTCACAGTACACACAAGAAAAGGGTAAAACAAACATTAGAGATTCTTTTTGCCCTTACAGTTTTTTAACTACATTGACAGGCTACACAGGGTACCAGTCTACTAATATAAAAACTGCTAAAGGAGGGCAGTAATGTTGCAGTAATGACCAAATGTTATATGATCAATATTGAATTCAGTGTTTGTCATTATATTTGGGATTTAAGTATCTGCATACAGTTTTTGTGATAGAAAACATTTTTATTTTTAAACATATCCCAACAGCATATTTTACTTTGTTGCTGGGGTCATGAATGGGTCATAACTACTCGATGATCTGAAGACGAAACAATAATTCAAGTTTATTTCAACCATGGCATATTTACCTTTTCAGTCAGAGCTTAGACACAATGTTAGACTTTAGCAACTCAGCGCTAAGTTGCTCCTGCAGACTTGATTTTGGTCTCTTTTATTCCAGTTCAAATAACAATGGCCAACACTGTAACACTGTGAGGAATCTTGAAATCGTTTTTCACCAGTATATATCCTTCTGTGTGCATATTAAACAAATATATTGGACTGCTTTTTTGCATTTACACAATATCTCTTCACAACCTTCAGCTGATCCAAAATACTGAAGCAAGAGTGACAAGGACTCAAAAGAGAGACAATATTTTTTCCCATATTGGCTTAATTGACTTGTAAGCTAAATTGAAAAGTGTGTTGTTGTTTTTTAGTAGCATGAAAGCACTCCAACAGGCCACTTTTCTTGGTAGGTAGTGCCATAATTTTAATCACATTTACTGGCAGTAAACCTTTAATGTAAGTTCCTCATAAAAGTAGGTTACTCGTACTCAACACTTGTTTGTGTGTGCTCTGCAGCTCTCCATTGAAACAGACACATGGAGCAGAGCAGTTGCTCATAAAAGAGAGACGTGAAGTTCTTGTCCCTGAAAATTTATGAGTGAGAGTTGAGGAAGTGTCTGCATGGGAGTAGTTCATGTTATGCACAGTGTCAAAGGTATAGCTTTAGAAGATCATTTGTAGGGGTTTATATAATGCCTGGAAAAGGAGTTTCAGTATCAAGTTATTGTTTCACCTCTTTGCACCTCCTCAAAGTTTTAATAAAATGAAACATATAATTATTTCTGACACATTGTTTCCATAATTGAATATGTTTTAAATGGCTTCCTTTTCAACTTTACAATTCAAATCACACATTTCCATTATACAAATTTGGGATCTTACCAAAGAAGAGGAGAGTCAGTGTTGGGAAACAGCCCATTTCTGATTTCACTGTAAAGAGAAGGAAATAGGTATAAATAACACACCAACTTTAGAGCTTTTGCATTACTTTGCATTTGTTTCCAGTTTTCTCTGATTGACGTGTTGATCAGTTAAAGAATGACATAACATGCTTTTGAGAATGAGAATAAGGTCAGAAAATAATGACTTTAAAAGTTTACTTTGGGGATATGTAAAAAAAAGATTACTATTGTTGATAAATAAATATATATTCTTAGTGCTTATTTGCTGATTATATATTCTTTTATGTATTTTAATAAGAGAGGGCCAGCTCTGAGTGTAAACTAGGTCGCAGGCTGACAGGAAACTGCATGCTTTTGCAGACCACAGAAGGTGCAGACAGAAAGGGAAACTGAGCAGATTGTTTTGATCGAAACTATATGTGACGTAGCAGAACTATATATGCACATGTAGCTATAATGCTTTCAGAACTGTGGGTGCATGAGAGCGCCTAAAAGCTCTCCATTTCCGGAAATGTAAAATAAAGATAAATTTTTTGAGTTTTGACCACCCTTAAGGTGCGATCTGATATGAGGCAGACAGGAGACCGGTCTAAAAAGATTTAAAGGTAAGCAAAGGTAAAAACAAGCCTGTTCAAAGAAAATGAATGAATAAATGGATGGATAAATTATCTGTTCGCCGAATGGAAGATCTCAACCGTTAAATTGGCTCTGGAGTGGTGAAATTAAAGTAAATTATAAAATCTGGTAAGTAGATTTCAGGTGACATGTCCATGGTAATTTTGGGTAAGTTGTGATAAATTAAATTAAAGTCTGGGGATATTTGATGAAAGCTTATTGTTGTTAATGCTGGGGTGAAGTTCAAAGTTGTTGTGACGTGTGTTTTGAAAATATACAACACTAGATACTTAAATTGTAAGAAATAAATGTATAAAAATTACAGTAAAAATTGTTCTAACAGTCTAATTGCCCAGATAAATTATTTGTTTACTTATTTTACTGTAGACACAAGAGAAAGAAACAGATTTTTTTATACTACATTGTGAAAAAACAGGAACTTTTCTGTCATTTAATTGTTTATCTATTACTTCATCACTTTGTTTCACATTGTTTAAAAATGTCAATTGGGCCAGATTGGAGTTTTTATTGGGCGGCTTCTGGCCCCCAAGCCTTATGTTTGCCATGTCCGCCTTAGCATCACTGGCAGGTTTGTTAGGTTTTGCAGCCATTTCAACCATTATCCCTGCCACACTCATTGTCTCCACAAAGAGCAAGATCATTCTGAATTATGTAACTTTTTACTAGTTTTAATGTTGTGACTGATCAGTGTATGTTCGTATTGAATGAGTTGTTTTTTCAATAAAATGACGGAAAATAGTGAAAATTTGAAAAAGTTAGAATTCCCAAATAATGTCTACAAACCAGTACACACCCAAGATTTATTCACTTTACAGCTGTTATCTTTGTATTTTTAGGAGTTGATCTTTCATTCTTTTTCTGTGTTTATTTTTAGTCAATATTAAACTAAAAAGAGACAAACACTGTTCATTTATTGACATATAATATATGCAATAGAATGAATACATATTGTTCCATCTGTAATTTCTATGTAAAGAGACAATAAAAAAACATTAACAATAACAAAATCTAAATGTATTGTAACACTCAAATGGTGAAAATATAAAGATATACTTACAAGTTTGTTGAATATTGTTTTAAGGTTGAGATCTGAGTGCTCCACATATGAATGCAGACGATGAATTGGCCACCCTTCAGTCAGTCAGTCAGTCAGTCAGTCTTCGACCTTATTTTCATATGTATATTTTCATATTTACACTGGCTGCCTGTCTGTCAGAGTATGTAAATCATAAGGCAAATTCTCTAGAGATGGTCACCGTGACAGGTGCTGCACATAAGATTACAAGTCATAAAAAGATTTAAAAAGAGAAAATAAAACAGGCAAAAAACTTAACCAAAAGCAGTTTTAAAAATGTGAGTTTTGAGTTGTTTTTTAAAAACAACTACTGAGTCCGCAGTTCTTAATGTTTGGGGGAGAGCGTTCCACAGTCTCGGGGCCACAGTGGCAAAAGCTCTATCACCCTTAGTCCTCCTCTTAGCATTTTTTAAAGCAAGTAAGCTCTGATCAGATGACCTCAAAGACCTGCTAGGGACATAGGGCTGTAGCAGATCAAAGATGTAGGCTGGTGCCAGTCCGTGCACAGCTCTGTAAGTCATGACCAGGATCTTAAAATTAACTCTAAATTTAACAGGAAGCCAGTGTAACTGAGATAACAACGGTGTCACATGTGAGTACTTGGAGGATTTGTCAAAAGCCTAGCTGCAGCGTTTTGCACAACCTACAGATGATCCAGAGAACCTTTGCTTAGACACATAAACAGCGAATTACAATAATCCAAGCGTGACAAAATAAATGCATGTATAGCAATCTCCAGTTCAGAGAGAGATAAAATCGGGCTTAGCTTAGGCACATTTCTTAAATGATAAAAGCAAGACCGAACCAGAGATTTCACATGCCCATCCAATGTGAGACTCGAGTCAAAGGTGACACCTAAATTCCTGATAGAGGATTTAAGATACACTGAAAGAGGACCAAGGGCTTTCCCTATCTGTGATAAAAATCTATCAGGGGCGCATACGAGGACTTCGGTTTTCCCCTCGTTGAGTTGGAGGAAATTTGCAGCCATCCAATGTTTGATCAAATCTAAGCAATCATTCAGACTCTGAAGCTTAGATAAATCCTCGGGCATAAAAGAAACGTACAACTGAAAATCATCAGCATAACAGTGATAAGAAATGTCCTCAAAAGAGCCCATTATATGCTGGAGGGGGAGAAGATATATTAAAAACAATAAAGGCCCCAAAACTGACCCTTGAGGGACACCATAAGTAAGGGAGGTAGAGGATGACCTAATATCGGAGACTGCCACAGAAAAGGATCGGTGATGGAGATAAGAGGAGAACCACTCTAATGCAGTTCCAGACTTTGTTACCGCTGTCCTTCCATGATGGTTCCTCCTCTTCCACCTCTTTCTTGAGTTTCTGCTGCCTGAGGTATTCACTGAGCACGTGGTGGGTTGGGGCCATCTTCCTGATGTATTTGTGGATGTTCGTTGCCACATCCTGGACTGTGGTACTGACAGTAGTCCCCGGCCCCCTTCCTTCTGCTTAGCGTACAGCCTCAGGGTGCTGGACTTGGGGTGAAACCCTCCATGCATGGTAAGGAGCTTCCTTGTCTTGATGTCAGTGGCTTCTATTTCCTCCTTTGGCCAGTTTATAATCCCAGCAGGGTACCTGATCATGGGCAGGGTATAGGTGTTGATAGCCCGGATCTTGTTCTTACTGTTCAGCTGACTCCTCAGGACTTGCCTGACCCTCTGCAGGTACTTGGTGGTTGCAGCTTTCCTAGCGGCCTCTTCATGGTTCCCATTTGCCTGTGGGATCCCCAGGTACTTGTAACTGTCCTCTATGTCTGCAATGATGCCTTCTGGTAGTTAGAACCCCTCAGTTCTGACTACCTTCCCTCTCTTTGTTATCATCCGAATTCTCCAATGCGAACAACATTCCGATGTCATTGCTGTATATCCTGGTGGTGTGGATCAGTGAATCGATGTCTCGTTCACTCTTGGCATACAGCTTGATGTCATCCATGTACAGGAGGTGCCTAACAACTGCTCCTATTCTGTAGTTGGTATCCGTAGCCAGTCTTGTTAATGATGTAACTGAGGGTGTTCAGGCCGATGCAGAACAGCAGTGGGGAAAGAGCATCTCCTTGGTTGATCCCGCACTTGATGTTGACTTGTGCTCTCTAGTGTTGTCCGCCACATCCCCACTGAGTTCCTGATGAAGGCTCTTAGGGTCTTGTTGATCTTGTATCAACAGGACCCTCATTCCAGGATCCAGGTGTGGGGCATGGAGTCATAGGCCTTCTTGTAAT